ACACACATCCTCCAATATATTTTAAAGCATCTCTAGATCATTTATAACATTAAAATGCTCTGTAAATGCTATGAAAATAGTTGGTATATTGTATTTTTAGGGATCAATAACAAGGAAAAGTTTGTACACGTTCAGCACAGAAACTACTTCCCCACACAGAACTACTTCCCCAAGTATTTTAAATCTGTGTTTGGCTGCATACCCTCTGTAGAGCTGGCAGATATGGAGAGCCAGTGGTAGTCAGTGTCCCCTCCAGCAGCCAAAACCCAGCAAGATTCTTCTCCCATGTTCACTAAGAGCCTGGTGGATATGGAGGAAGGGTCAGTGAGGGGTGGGAGTGACCCCGGATGCTTTCTCTTAAGCTTCCTTGGCCCTCACTTGAGCACTTTCTGGCTCAGGCATTGGCTCCCATGGGGATTTCTGCACATGTGTCCCTACTGCAGGAGGAAAGGATTTTGCTGTTCACTGATACAGGGTGCAGTGGTGATGCTAGAGGACCCAATCCTTCTGAAAAATGTAATAAAAGCTGCTGAATTTTGAGACCTGTGTGCTTATTTTTTGGTACAGTGAAGATATTCAATTTCTGGACATGCCCTACCAAGAATTTAAAGTCTTGAATTTCTTATTTTAGAAATAAAATGTCCTATGATGGATGTGCTCATTATGTATGTAAAAAGTGTACCAATAAAATTAATTTTTAAATTTTAAAAAAGAAATAAAATGCAGTTAAGTATAAAATTCCACGAAATTTTATGTGTTCTTGATATTTTACAAATAAAGATAATAAAGTTAAACAAAACAGGAAAAATTAAAACTATTAAAATGAGAAAAAAATTGATATTGCTTTATTTAGATGGTGCTAGTCACAAATATTAATAACATGGGAAATAAATCTGGATATTATTTTCTTAGTTTAAAATCAGAAAAATAAGGAGAATTATACTTCCACACTTAGAGATTTTACTGAATTTCCTTTCCTGCGAAACTAATGAAAATATTGCAAATATTAACAAAATCACTGATTCCCGAACTCTGGAAATTAACCGAAAGCACAGAGTCAGCTGGAAAGCACACACTGAACAGGAAGTGCTGACCTGGTGAGGAGGGTGGGTCAGGGCTCTCTCACGAGGGATGCTCCTCTTTCCCTTCCGGCCCCCGGTGTGCCAAGGCTGGAAGGCCCTGGTGAGGGCTGTGCTGCAGGTTAGTGGTGCAACGCTTCCTACCCTGCAAGAGGCTCTGAGTTCCATCAGCAGAACCACAGACAAACGAAGCAAGAGGAAAGGAGCAGGATCTGTTGATGCCCTGGTGAGCCCCCAACCAGTGCTGTAGTTTGGATGTCAAATGTCCCCTAAAGCTCATGAGTTCTGAAGTGAGGCTGTAAGAAGGCGACTGAGTCACAGAAGCTACAGTCCTCAGCAGACTGCTTTACTGAAAAGCTAGGGACTGAACAGCAGTTCAGAGGCGGAGCAACTGGAAGAGACAGGGTCTGGCTGAAGAGTAGGGCTCTGGCTCATCCTGGGAGCAAGGATCTCCTCCTGGGTCCTCCCTTGCTCTCTGCTTCCTGGCTGCCATAACTTGAGCAACTACTCCTCCACCAGAGCTTTCCTGCCTAGGAGCCACCAACCACTGGCCGAATCCTCTGAAACTCATGAGCCAAAGTAACCTCTCTTCCTTTAAACTGTGGGCTCGGGTATTCTGTCCCAGTAATGGGGCAGCAGCTAAGGAGCAGAGTCTTGCCCGTGCTCTGCCAAGGCAAGTCCCCAATTAAACCCTGCCCTCGAGGTTTTGTCACTACTCAGCAGGACTGGATGTCTGCTGCTCCAGGGTTTTGGTAACCCACAGTGGGAGTCAGTAACAGCAGCTCTCCAAGACTGGGAAAATAGAGACTTAGTAAAGGGGAATAAAGTACAGGGAGCGATCCCAATGGAGATATGGGGACAGGAAAACCTGAAATGAAAAAAGTGCAAAATCTGAGTAGACCACGTGATCATGGAGTACAAACTGGTAAAAACAAAGAGAGGTTAATATAGAAAATTTAATCTAAGGCACAGAAAGTAATAAAAAATAAGCAGAAACTCAGAAAAGTGAGACAAAATCAAACATACCCACATCCAACTAATGTGAGCCTCAAAGAAGAAGAGAGAACAAAACGGGAAAAATTATCAGATGGTATGGCTACAGTTTCCCAAATGACACTTCTCAGAAGCATGTCAAATTCCAAGTGGAAACATTCAGAGACCTTTGAAAAGAAACACAATATCAAAAGTGTCACAACAAAAATCAAAGTCAAAGCCTTGGGACCCAGGTCGAGAAACAGTGTCACATACATGGGCCCTCAGCATCAACTGAGTCCTTATCAAAACAGTGGAGCCCAGAATGGCACCTGGTCACCCAAGCACCTGATAGAAATGTGGTGGTCAGAAATTTTATACGCACACAAAGAATCTTTCAGGAAATAAAGAACAGTTAAAGACTGCACCAGTGAAAAATAAATTCATAAATAAAATAACTGAGAGCATATAGTACTAGCAGATCTTTCTTAAATGAAATACTAAAGATTAACTAGGTAAGCAATGGTTACAGACTTTTGCTCATGGACTTATGAAGGAAATTTGTAAGATAATTCAAGCTTTAAAGGGTTTAGGCAAGAAAACTGTATTGGAGCAATGAGCAATATTTCTGTGTACTACTGAAGTTTACATTATTCAGAACTGTATTATTTTAGGTTAAGACATGTGATATCCAGGTAAGTGTTATAAAAGTAACTCAAAATATATTTTTTTTAAAAAAGAATCTCTGTTGCAAAGTTGATAACTGCTTAATAAAAGACTGTGATAATGCAACAACAGAAAAATGGCTTGAAACAAATACAAATCAATAGCAAAATCCATCTTATCACAAATTATATTGGATATAAGAGAATTAATTCTTTAAAAAGTCTGTTGGACTGCATTATAAAAGAGAAGCCAATTATAGGCGATAGATGAGACCATTAGAGCCAAAGAAACTGTTCAAAGAATACGGTTGAGAAGAAGATACACTGTGTAAAGAGAACAAAAGAACAAAATCAGAGCTGTAGTGCCTTTGGTCAGATTTTACAGATTTTAGGGCAGAAAGAATACAAAATGCATATTGCTAAAGATAATTAGGAGTATTTTATAACTCTAGGGATTCTTTCTATTCAGCAGAGTTTAAAAGCATATCCTCTTTCCAGCAACAGAAGAAACACAAAATATATGAAATAAGAACTGAACTGAAGAGGAAAATAGAGCAGAAGGCTGGAAACGTCAGGATTCTGCTCTTCGCAACTGACAAAGCTTCTAATCAGAAGAATGACAGAGGCCTTGAGCAGAATCATGGGCTTGGATGAACTGGTTTCCAGGGAACAGCAGAAAACATCATTTCCAAGAGCACACAAGAAGGTCCACAATGGGTCCAGACAATGCTCCGCAGGCAAAGAATAAAGATGTAAACTGCAGCTTTTATCTCCACAGAAATGATAACAATATTTTGAAGAATCCATCTCCCATTCACACTTTAACAATCTCGATAAATTCTGCATAGAAGGTAATTCCCTCAATGAAACAAGGAGATTCCTGTAAAAGAGCATTGTGCTGAACAATGAAAGCATGAATTTCTTCCTGTATCAGGAAGAAGGTGAAATGTTCCCTATTTCAAGGTTTATTTAATGTAGTAATAGGAGGCTTAGGCAGTGCAACCGGGCAAGAAAAGAATTAAAGGGCATATGATTTAGAAAGAAGCAGGTGACACTTGTTTTTACACAGAAATAATGATATATCTGCACTAAGTGGGAAAATGATTAAAATTAATGAACATGTAGGAGTTTTTGGATATAAGGCCAAAAATTTAAAAAAATCACATATACATCTATATATAAAGCATGACCAACAGAAAAATGAAATTGAGAATACAGTCCCTTTCATAATAGCATCTCTGATTAAAAACATTCATGAAAAATTTTTGAGATTTGTATGCTGAAGAAATTTAAAAATCTAAAAATTAAAAGCAATCAATAAATAGATATCCCATGATCTTTTATTAAGGAGCTCAATGTTGATAATATAGCATTCCTCTTTGAGTGAATAGACAGGTCCAGTAAAGAGGTTTAAAATATAGAGTATTTCCCTGGGGTGGAGAGTACTGCATCATCCCAGTAAAAAAAAAAAAAAATAGAAGGAATTTTCAAGCAAGTCTTGAAACATATATGGTAGTTCAAAAGATACAGAGAGTCCTACTTTAAAAGTTTTTAATAGAATGTATTTCAATTAGTTTTACATTTACAGCAAAATTGAGCAGAATGTCTGAGGTCCCCTGGGCATTACAACCTCAGAACCAAAATTTCATAGAGCCCATACATGGCATTTGTCACAACAGGTGAACCTAACTTGTTCATCATAATTCCACAGGAAGCCATCATATCTGCTACCATGTCAAAAAATCTCAAAAGCAGTACATTATGAAAAAAATTTGAATACGAGAAACAACATATTGTGATTCATTTATAAGGGTATTCAGATAACACAAATCTTTGAAGATATAGATATTTAGATAGATAGATAGACAGATGTTGTTTTTTGTTTGTTTATCTGTTTGTTTGTTTTGAGACAGGGTCTCATTACGCTGTTGAGACTGACCTGGAACTCAATAAGTAGCTCAGGCTGGTCTCGGACTCACAGCGATCCTCCTGCCTCAGTGTCCCAAGTGCTGGGATTACAGGCGTGTGCCACCATGCCCAGTTTATATAGAGATGCAGAATGTAAAACTTGGTATTAACAGTAAATGAATCTAATAAGTCTTTATTGTTTAGAAAAATTCTAGTACTCACTATTGGTCATTACAGCATAATATGTTAAATACTGTAAAAGTCAGAATTGAGCAAATGAAATGGATGAATTTTACAATTTTTAAAATATAACTCTATAGGATATATAACTAGATAAAATTTGAGTTAATTGATCAATAGAACATTGTACCTTTCTCCGCATTATTTCTAAAGCTCCTCCATCTTTAAATCAAATTTTTGACACTGTAAACATGTCATTCATAAAAATGAAAGATCTGCTCTTTATGAAATATTACCATTTTGAACCTTTGCACTTTGACAGCCCTGCTATTTCTAACCTTACTAGACCTCAAGCATCTCTGAGATAGGACCCTTCTGGGAGCCACGTGCCTCTCTAGCCGCATGTGAATATCGCCAGGGAAAGAAAAATTTAAAAATAAGTCTGTATCCTTAACATGTGACTCTAATGACTGGAAAGGATTCAAATTTGACTGGAACTGTCAGTGCCTAATGGGAAAATGTTCAAGTTAGAATCCAAAGTGACATAGAATTTGTGTTCTGTTGGCTGCTGTTATAAATAACTCTGGGAAATTTCAGGGCTGAACAGTATGGAAACATCTTTCTACCTTGTGCAAAGTCAAAGCTGGTTCCTAGTTGATGGATGACTTATTCAGTTGTGTGTGTCCCACCAATCTGTGTTCAATTTCTTTTAAAATCTTGGAATCCATAAGCCTAGCTTGCAGAGAGGCTGAGGCAGGAAGAGCTCACACTATAGCTCCTCTTGAGGAACTTCGCAACTTAGGGAGATCCTGTACCAAAATTAAAAACCAAAGAGGCCAAGTTCAGTACAAAGGCCCTGAGTTTAAATTTCTGTACTCTTTCATTGGTAGTCCTTGATTGTGGGAGGGAGAAAAGGCAGATAGTTAACTATTTATATCCAACTTCATCCATAAAGGAAACTCAAACGCTCCATGCATAATGCGTCTGGAAGAATGGGTTACACTAATCGAGCAGAGGCAGCGCTGGCTGGTGAGTGTGCCCAGCCTAGACTTCTCCAGATCTCTGCACAGGAAAAAGTAAATTAACCCTGGAGTTCAGACTTGATTTTAGTGAGACATGAAGAATAATTTTACAACTCACTGAGTTCTAGGTGATATGAATGAGTTATAGACATTTATATTCTGTGTTTAGTATTGTCAAGATTCACAGTTGCAGAGAGAGTGGAGAGGGTTTATTTCATCTGGTGCTGTGTCCCAGAAGTCTCATCATGATGCACGACTGGGCTGGTCAGCTTCAAGGTACAGTACAAGTCATGCCAGTGGCTCAGTTCCTGGTCGGAGGTCCCGTGGCTTTCCGTCCTCGGTGAGTGTGGGCATCAGCTGCGGCACAGCCAAGCACCTCACTTCATCCTAAGGGTGTGGAGAAGGACAAGGCTGGAGAAGAGGTCCTGGGTCCCTTAGGGACATACCCAGTGCCTTCCCTACCCTTCCGTCCTCTAGTCCCCACCCCCTGAAAGTTCCCCTGGCCCCAGGACCTCTAAGAGTAGAAATCCAGCCTTCAGTACAAGGGGCTTGGGGGTCGTTTGAAGTTCAGTCTGCAGCAGCTGTACTGGAGAAGGCCCAGGTTCGGTCCAACCCAGCTACCTGTGGAAAACAAAATTGTGGCTGGGAATTATGGCTTTCATACAAATGAGGATTGTGTGTGGGAGAAAGAATACGTACTGTGACCAGGAGGAGCAGGTAACTCATTTTCATAACTGTGCCACTTTTGAGACTGTCATGTGGAAACCCCCGACCCCAAAAAAAAACTATTGTTTTATATTTTACTTTTCTGATTCAGCACACCTGGAAGCATTTATAATAAAGACTTCAAGGACAGCATTGACAATATATAGATTTCTTTTTTCAGTTCTAGTCCCAATTTAATAATTATCATGTATTTTTATGTTTTCTTGGACAAAATTATCTTTGTTGATATATTGATTAGATTTAGAAAACATTCAAAGATGTGAGTTTTTAAAAAGTTGGATAGGGCTTGAAAGAGCAATTGTGCAGGGAGGAGGAACTCAAATTGAACATAATTCAAAACAAGCTGTTTTTTCGCATCACCTGAAAATTTCAAAATGACCCATGTATACTAAAAGATAACAGGAAGGCAGAAGATGAGTGGGAAGATTAGAGAAGGGAAAAACACATCTTTATCTTCAGTCTCTCCCTCTAGAAATGCAAAGCGCTATAAATATGAGGAAATTCTACAGAATAACATTGATAAAAAGAAACCCTTATGTCATTGTTTCTAGGCAAACTTCACGTGCTGGGCTCTGAAACACAAGGAAGTCTTTCCCACAGCATCCGCAAGCCTTGGTGAGTCCCCAGAGCAGGCTCTGTCAGCAGAGCAGTGAGGGAAAGCTCCCCATGATACACACACTTGGGACTGTCTTCGTGTCCCAGTGCAGTGACATGGTGCTGGCTACCTCCTCTAATATCTTCCAGCAGAGCAAAACAGGCCCTGTTTCCAATCCCCTTTTAAGTTTATATTTTAAAGTAAGCCAATCACAGCGTCACCTCTGTCCATGTTGCTGCTCTTTCCCTATCTCTAATCTGCCCTGAAACAGAACTACTCTTTATAGCTATTGATTTTATCTGCAGACATCCCAGGAGTAAAACCCACTGGAACAAGACACAAATATCCAGGTTCCCATTTGCCAGTGGAAGACACAGTAATCCTTTATAAATAACTAATGTCTTTCCTTGTTTCACATAGTGTAGTACTTTTTTTACAGAATTTAAAAGCACTAATTTCTAGAGTAAAGGCAATAAATGCATGCTTTGCTATTCATTAAAAAGAAAAAGTATTGTGTACATGATCTGACACACTGCAATAAGAACAATTATAACAGCAACAAAGATTATTTTGGGTCTGACTCTGGGCTGGACAGTGGGCTTTGAGCTGCACACATTAGCTCACTGATGTTGGCCAACCAAAATCCTGTGAATTTCATGCTATTTCCACCCCGTGGAATTAATGAGGACACTGAGGTCAAGCTAACTTCCCAAGGTCATTTGTCTAGCAGCAGATGAACATAGATAGATAGATAGATAGATAGATAGATAGATAGATAGATAGATAGATAGATAGATAGGAACATTAAGTACATAGAGAGGTGTCTACCATACATGTTCATATTTACTACCGTCTTGGTCACTTTTTTCATTGCCAAGAAAAATGCCCCAAAGCCACAACTTGAAGGAAGAGAGATTTAAATTGGCTCCCTGTTTCAGAAGTCTGTTCAGCAGGCTCAGATGCAGAAACAGCCTGAGAAAAGGGCCTGGAGGAGGAGAGCTGCTCACCTCATGGCTGGGGGGAAGCAGGGAGAGAAGGGAGGTGCATGAGAGGGAGCCTCACCTTTCGGGTCCCACCCCAGGGAGTGCCTCTGCTGATTAGACCGTACCCCCTAACACGAAGTCAGCTGCCTCTCCCTCCATCTGACTCTGTCACATTCCAGAAGCCCTGACTGTGAGTGAGGCCCTCAGGAATGTTCTTGATCTAAAATGAAGCAACCCTACATGTCACACCTGTTAAGTGTATGTGGATTTTTATCTAAACTATAATTGTGTTCTTTTGTTTTACAGTGTGTTTGTGTTTTGATATCTGAGGGCTCCACTTCAATGAAACTTTGATTTACAGTCCTTGGCATAACTTAAATTCCTCTTCCTTAGTTTTCTCCAAGTTGTTTTCATTTGCTACCTGTCAGCTCTCACTTCCTTAGTTTACCTCTAGCCCTGAAGTCCATCTTAAGCATGAAGTCTACTTCCGGGCCCCTTCAGTACCATCTCAGGAGGATGCACATCTCTACTGCTTAAGTCCTGTCCATGTTCTCTGCTTTCCCTGTTCAGGGCCAACATGGTCTATCATAGTGCATGACTTGCAAAAGTGTCACTTAACACTATTTGATCAAATGCAGTGACATTGTTTCATCAAATATTCTCCCCAACACAGCCTAGCATGGTTCACTATAGAAAAAAAGCATCAACTTGAAAAATCAGTGGTAGATTATTTTTTATTTTATGAAAAAATTAAACAAAATTTTGTAACAATAAGAGAATAATCAACACAATCCTGGCTAAGTTCCTTAAATGTTTATCCTTTAAGCTCCTTATGTGTAAAATAGTGACACAATCAACTTCACAATGTTCTGTGTACTGTTGTTAAATAGTAATCCTCTCTGGGCATGGTGATGCACCCCTGTAATCCCAGTACTCCAGAGGCAAAGGCAGGAAGATCGCTGGGAGTGTGAGGCTAACCTGGGCTATATAGTGTGTTTATAGCCAGCCTGAACTACAAAGGGAGATCCTGCCTCAACAAACCAAAAGTAAGTAAATAAACAAATAAATAATTTTAAAATACAATAATTCTGAAAGTATGTTGTAAACCAAATAATATGAATATGTTTGCATTGTTATATAATCAAATTCATTTGCTTGTTTTGGGTATTCATTGCTGTGAAACAGTAGCACTGGCATCTTCTTACCCAGTATCAGTCCACTTCTCATATCAGCTGACTTTCCTACTTGGAGACACAATACCTGAAACCCACAATTTGAAGGAAGAAGTGGTTTATTTGACTCAAGGTTTCAGAAGAGTCAGATCATGTTCCCAGGCTCCAAGGCAGAAACACCATGGAAGGGCCTGGAAGAGCAAAGCTGCTTAGTTCACAGCAGCCAGCAAGCAAGAGGAGGAAATGTAGGTGTTAAAAAGGCAGAGGCCCAAACAGATGCCGAGGCCGCACCCTCACCTATGCCAATACCCCGGAGTGTCACCATCACTCCTCCAAGTGCATCCCCAGCCAATTAGACAGGCACTCCTCGCTCAGCACCACACCAGCTGGAATATTCTGTTCTAAATTAGAAGAAGGCATGGACACAAGACCAGAAAACATGGCCAGTGAGAAAGCGACACAACGACGAGGCGTGGCGGCTGCTGTACATGGCCTGTCCAGGGAAGGAGGCACCTAGAGAGGACCAGCATGCTCCTCCAGGCCGCAGGGATCTCAGCAGGTTACCTCTATAATTCCTGCCACAACTGACTGTGCTGCCCAAACTTCCCAATTTCCAGCATGAACCCATGGTCAGGCAAATAATGCTTCACTTCTGTTTTGTTAGAGATTATTAATTTCCAAATTGCTATGGTGCCAAGTTTAACACTTTTAAAGAAGTCCTGTGCATGCGTGCCTGTGTGTGTGTGTGTGTGTGTGTGTGTGTGTGTGCGTGCGCACGTGCCTGCGTGTGTGGTAATGGGGATTGAACTCAGAGTTTTTGCTCCGTTGCTAGGCAGGGCTACAATTTGTGATGCTCCTGCCTGGGCCCTCAGGCTGCAGGGATTACAGGGCTGCACTAGGACACTTGGTTCCACATGCTTGATCTTAAAACCTCTCCATATATGGTGTTCTGTCCTAGCAAGCCAAGCTGATGAGAAAGAAAGTCAACGCTGTCAAACACAAGACTTCCCTCATTCAAGCACAAGGGCTCCAACAGCTTGGGCTGGGCCTGTGATGTGCATGAAATCTCTTTGAAAAATGCCTCCCCCATACCTTGTAAGTTTCAAAGACCACCATTTGTTGCAGCATCCTGGCCCCTATCAAAGGAGTTAGTGTCCTTTAAAGAGAGGGTTAAGAGATAAGGGCATCACCAAGAACCCAAACCCTCAGGTGCTCTGAGCTCACTGTGGATGCTCTACGAGGTGGAGGAAGAGGAGCAGCGCCCCTTTCTGAACTTGACTTGGTCCCTTGTGCCTGCCTCATATGACCATAAATTAAGGGAAACCATTCTTGATGACTTACAGTAGAGCTTACCCTAGTCTTTGCTCTGCTCTTGTCTCTTCTTTTCTCTGTCTCTTTCTGTGCTCTCAAATGGGGACACACATATACACAGACACACAGACTAAACAAGACTCTGAACACTTAGTGTACACAGAACAGCCGTCTTGGCTATGATACTACATAAGAGAGGATGTAATCCAGGCCACAAGGCCCGCCCAATGTGGTCATACACAGGAAGAGGACATACAAACCATCTGAATTATTCAGGTAACTTCTCTAGATAATCAAGCTATTTTGGTTGCTGTTATGTAAATTGTTACTATTTATGAATGCAGAATTTTTGCATCCTAATCTAGTTAGACAGGAATGGGACACAGACAACTGCACATGAATATTTTCACACGCAAACACATTGCCTGCACATAACACAGCTTTTCAAAATTAATTATTTAACACTATTTTAAAAGAAAATTCATGAGAGCTAATGTTCTTTGTCACTACTGCTTCACTACTGATCTAGTCAGAAAATCTGTTTCAACTTTTCGTAAATTAATGCAGTGTCTTACTTGAACTGCCTTCGGGAAACTCTTCCCTCTGGACAACACCGAGCTGCAATTAGCAAAACTTACAGTTGTTTGGCAACCCACTTCTGGGGCCAAGAAAAAGAAATATGGTCTCAAAACTTCTACAAGCAGGCCCAGGAATGTGAGCAGAGGGGCTTGCTGTGGTAATAATTATAACCCTGCCAGAAACAAAGACTAGAGACTCTGTGCTTTATGTTATGATGAAATTACATGCTCCATCTCCGAATCCTCCCCTGCCTCA